AAGATTTAGAAAATTGTCAAGTTCCGGGACGACGAGAGAGAGAGAGAGAGAGAGAGAGAGAGACACGGGCCAGATCTTCTCGATATTCTTTTCTCCGCTTTCAGTTTCCAAGCAACGCGTATACGTATCTGGCGTGGCGCAGAGCGTCACGTTGGCCTCCAATCAAGCGTTAAGAGGAGGCCGCCGCCGACACCGTCAGACGACGTGGCGTAGAATTTGCAACTATGCTAATAAGAGGCGACCCGAACGGACAGCTAATGGCCGCCCGAGAGAAAAAGGACGAGAGCCGGAAGCGCACAATGAATTCGTGAGGTCGCGGCGACGTAGAGCTAGGAAGTGGAGGAGGAGGAGGAGAAGGAAGAGAAGACGAGGGCCGAGGACGAAAGGGCGCGGAAGGGACACCAGGGGGAGAAGGGGGAGGATGGAAGAGGATGGAGAAGGATGAGGAGGATGAGGAGGGCGACCACGGATCAATCGTAGCCTTCCGTATTCCCTGCCGCCCCTCGGTCGACTTTCGTCCCCTTCCCCTTCGTTCGCCCCTTCAACTACTACAGCCGACTTGCACCCCTTGCAGCTCGCCTCCTCCTTTCGTGCCCTCCACCATCGTCCCCGTTATCCCTCGGTCGCCCTTACTCTTCTCCTGCCCCCCCCCGCACCATCCCGCGACTCGCACGAGGCCCTCAACCCTCGACCGCCGTCGCGTACTTGCACCGTCGATGTGCACGCGTCGTTACGCAGGCCCAGACCCACCGACCAGACATCAGACTCTCTTCTCCCCTTGCCTTCTCTCTTCCTTCCTCGTCCCTTCCTCTCTCCTCACCCCTAGCCCCTCGCCACTCGCCCTCGTTCATCTCCGCGTTTCACTCGTCTCACTCTCTATTTCTCGCGTGCAGCATTTTCGCCCTCTCCGTCTCCTTCTCTCTTTCTCTCTGCCTCTTGCCGCTTTCCCAGCCGCCGCATCGCGGCGTCGGAGGGCGAAGCTCGCGCGGCACAGAGTAGGTCAGTGGCGTGAATGATCATCAGCATTAGCGCGAACGGGCGGATGAGCGGGTGGGTGAGCGGAGCGCGCCCGCGCGCCCCCGCGTATGTGTACACGCGTCTGCCCGTTCGCCCGTACGCAACCAACGCGACGCGACGTTTGCACCCCCTCCTCCCACCCCTCCGACGTGCATTCACGCCCTTATGCAACTCCCATCCGCGTCCACGCAACTTCGCTTCGACGATTGCATTGCGGAGACTTCCCGAGAACGAGCACTCGAGAAAAAAAAATTGCCATTTCCTTACATTTTCTCTTTAATCTGCCGTGCAGCGTACGACGCGTCAAACGTAGACAATTTTTTGGTGTCGATTTCTTCGCGTCGAAAAATTTTTACGTTCAAGAGTGACAGAGAGCAGGAAGATAAAATGGAAAAGGCCGCCAATAAAGCTGCATTTTTCAACTCATGCTACGCTCGCGAACCTAGTTCATGCATTTGACGATTTTTGAATAACTGTCGGCGTGAAGCCAACATTCTTAGAAATCGACTAATTACGTCTATGTTAAAAGATGCAATTCTTAGTAACACGTGATCCCGTTAATCCCGCACTCACGCGAGCGCGCTTTATCAAGATGCGCTGCCTGAAAATTAGTTACTGCGTTAAGATGGGATCTCCCTTGGAACATTTGAACAATCTCGCACCCACGCGTATCCGTTTCCTCGATTTACGTTGGTGGTTCCAGGAATTTTCTAATTACGCCTGTATTGAGCTATAGAGCTATTCGATATCATTAATTTACGCGCCCACACCAACTCCCCCCCCCCCCGTACAGCTTTCGCACAAAGGTTTCCCTCTATGGATTACCTTTTTCAGTTTCGCTTAAATATCGTACATTTTTTAACGAACTGCATCTATAATAAAACGTAATTTTTGAGGCTTCGGCTATATGTAATCTTCGCTAAACACTGAAGGTATTAAATATCTTTGTGTTAAAATGCGTTAATTCCAGTGAATTTTCTAAACTTCTCGCGCCGTTAAAAGCGCCGCGTCTTGTCGATAATATTATCTCACTATCGGAAATACATCGAATACGAAAGCGGTTGAAAGAGATCCAGGAAGTATCGTAAAATTTCGATAGTTCTTGCCGCGGTGTTATCTAACGCGCGGTGCGGCGTATCCGAGCGAAGGATGTGTGCGCGGAATTGCACTGCGAATTGGACGAGTTTCACGGTCCCGACCTTGAAGCGGTTTAACTAGTTTTCGCAACTTCTTGTTCCGCCTGCGCTTTGCGAGAATTATTTTTGTTGCCTCGCCGCCGCGTGTCCGCTTGCCGATCATAAAATACGTCGATCGTGAACGCACGGCTTTTTTGCGGCTAATTCGCAATGGCGAGATCGGATTAGCCTCGGTTGTGAGGAAGGTGAAAAAATCGCTCCCTCAATGCAGTTACGCCAGTTCATTACATAAGAATACTTGACGCTGAACGCATATATTAAATACACGCTTACTTTGAAAATTAATTCAACTCGCGGACAAATTCTAGCGGGTATTTCTGCATTTGATGCACAGGAAAAAAGAATGTTCTTCTTTCGACAATATGTTTAGTTTCAACGTGAAAATCTTGAAAGGAGATTATATTGCGTTAAAAGAAGAAAAAAAACTTACTCGAATGAAGCACTTTTGTATAATTCAATCGAGAAAAAATATACTTATTGTCTAATTAATTAATTGTCTTGAATGGAAAGAAAACAACATATTTTCAAATCAAAGATTGTCATAATTAAAATCATTTTAGTGTTAAAATAATTATGCATTCTTGAAGACAATTATAGTATTTAAATAAGACTGTACTATTATCGGAATGTAAGATTATTAAATGCTTTTAAGATTATAGATTGTTGCGTATATACAAAACATTGAATGCATTAATTTGAATATATAAGAGTTGATCTGACACTTTTTTTTCTGTGTACACGATTGCTTGGTTCTCGAACAAACTTTTGTCGGGAGAGAAGCGAGCAATATAAAAGGTATAAATTTGAAGAATCCGCGGAGCCACGGAACAGTAGAATAATTTGAGAAATTTGAAATTATTCGCATAAACTCCCAAAAGACTTGGGATCCTTTCGCTTTCTTTGACATTGCGCAATACCGCGAAACCATATTAATAAAGTATATTAATACGAAAGCTCATATGCAACGCGAAAGATTATGAATTATATAATCAGAAATGAAACTCGAGATAGTGTCTTTTCACGGACTGTTAAAATCGGAATTGGTACTCGTTCTTCTTCTTCTATCAGAAATCTCTATGGCGACACCGTCAAGTCGGGCGGCGCTTGGTTTATGGGGACCGAAGTCTACGTAGACGTCCCACCATCCAACCTTACCCAACCTCCCTCTGTCCCAACCTTTCCTAGCTCTAGCCTAGCCTAGAGCCGTGTAGAAGTGCACTCCACCACACCACACCACACGGACGTCTGCCTAGTATTGATCCTCGGCTCAGCTACTGGCTACCTTCACCCACTAATAATTCTTGTCAGTCTCCTACAGGCGTGGCGAGTCAGGCCCACCGCCCGATCTGTACCCTTCTTTCGTATCCCGAGATATTCGCAAAAAAATTGGATCGAGTAAAAACCCAAAGTTACACCGTTATAACAGTAGCGATATATTTTTATTACTCGCGTAATCGTACTATATCTCCATCCACCCCTAACGTGATTAAAACTACCCTTTCGAAATTCTAATAAAGCGATAAGCTCGACAATAAGTCGCTCCCGTCGCTACATATTAATTTATTTTAACGTATTTTCCTTTTGTATTTACGCGTCAGATCGATTCAACGGTGGAGCAAAACTCGCCTGGCACGCGTCCGCCCCCGATTCTCCTCTCGTTTCTCACGAGGCGTGACATGCTTTTGAAACGTTCACGGTCGTAAAAAAAAACGACTATAAAAAAGACCGTCTTTGTCCCGTCAGAATGCGTTTTCCGCGCTAATTAGTAAGCGCTCTCGTCTTGCAGGAGCGTCGCGGAGTCTTCACGAGTTATCTACGATCGACGGATCACGGGCTCTGAAGACGGACGTATCGAAACTGAGGAATCCATTTTCGATACGTGGCTTTCGAAGCGGACGCTTGATGTCAAAAATATCAACGGCACGGAGACGGGTATCTGTTCTTATAATAACAATCAAATAACGTCAATGCCGTCGTCGATAAACGTCGCGTTTCTTAATAACGCGTCTTGCTCGCAGTATCGCAACCTAAGATCTTGTGATAAACGGAGCCAAACTATTCGCTTCGTATCCCCGTAGATCTTTGCATTTTCTCTCCTTCGAGCTATGTCTCTTTCTAGTAGGTAGTACACGCAGCAGACACACACACAAAGGCGCGCGCGCGTATGCGCGTTTCATCCCGTTTTCAGTTCGTTCTTTTTTAGTCCTATTCTTTGGATAACAGCATGCGATTCGACGATTCGCGTTCATCCAGTTTTACGTTTTATTATCTCGTTCGTTGAAAACGCACATCGGATTTTCCGCTCCTTTTGTTAGGTTTTTGTCCGTTTGGTCGATGAACCTTCTTGCCCTTTCCCGTTTTGCGTTTCATGTCTCTGTACAAACGCTCGTCTCGATACGCTGGATGTTCGCGCTGAATGTTCCGGTGAGATGTATTCTTACGTCGTGTATTATGTATCAGACAGCTATTCGGTAAATAACACGAACCAGACACGCGCGTCGTGGTGCGTGTGTAATTGTTGAAATTATACCATCTCTGATACATACAATGTGAGCTTGGCGCAAATTGCACGAGCTCTGTAACGAGAGAACGATCCGGATAGTTTTAACGGTGATGATTCTACAATGACATAAAATTCATTGTCCCCTTTAACCGTCGTACAATTTACGTTCAACACGGCGGGTTTCGGTTTTCCCAGGATAAGGTACACTCTTTTACTCCCTTTTTCAGTCCCATCAAGGATAATAAAGCTTTCCCGATAACTCGGTTTTGATGCTTTTTGTGCAGTGATTACGATACGGGACCCGCGTCGAGTGTCTGCGAAATGGATCCACTCGCATGCAGTGATTGTATGCACATGCGGCTGCTTATCGCTCACGGTACAACTACACCGCCGCGACCGAAAGAGAGACGGAGGCAGTGAGTGAGGGAACAACAGAAGGAGAGAAGGAGGAGCGGGGGAGAGGAAGAGAAAGAGAGATAGAGAGAGAGGGAAAAGGATGCGTATATGTACGGAACACGTGCGCACACATATACATGCACACGTTCGCTGCACCGTGGTGCACCGTCGAGAGGGAGTACAAACGGCTGAAAGCGAAACGTAAACAAACAGGTAGCTCTTTATCCAAACCAAATAGCGGGGGAGTAAAATTGCGGCACGCTGCCGTTGGAAGCCCGAGCGAGCGAGCGAGCGAGCGTGGAAACTTTCTTTCCTTTGTTTCCCATTATATTTCCGCATTACTTTTTTAACGCGCCGTTAAATACCCGAGCTGCCACGAGCTCGCAGGTAGTTTTGGGCGAAAAAAAAGGGAAAGAGAGAGAGAGAAGGACGCATCATTTTTCTTCGTCGACAGCGCCGCGAATCTTTCCCGCATAAACGCATTTCTGTGTCTATTTATTGCATTCCGTTTACTTATCTCGTATATCCACTATCCTCGTTAACTTCTCGCACTATTGTTTCCTCGCTAATGGCGCGTTATATTCGTTACCGTATTAAAATTGGCTTGAAAAGTAAAAGTAAAAGGAAATATGTTTGCTTATTACATAATACATTTTAAAATTGTAAAATGCATTAAAACGTTTTAAGATAAAAACTTGGTAATATTACATCTAAATTGCAACTCCCTCTCTATATTATCACTATATAAAAAAACTTTGGCACAAATTGATACGAAAAATACCTGAGAATTTTGATTGATAATGAGGTCGTTTTGTATTTAAATTGCCTCGGGTCCCCTTTTGTTTAAGTATCTCTTCGGTGTGATTTATAGCGAAAATGATGAGAATGAAAAGATTGACGGGAAGTGGCAAGAATACCAACCGTTTCTTACCACCGTTGCCGAGGTGATCGCGCAAGAAGAAGCATCGATTATACCTAGAACAAAGTCTCATCGAACTACAAAGGAAACTGGTCCTGTCTCTGTGGTCGGTTATCTGCGTGGCCGCCGCGCTAAGGAGCCGAGGTCGTGGAGCGAAAGATGCGTATCTGGATACTCGCGAGAGGGCAAATGAGTAGGCGAATAGTTATGAGTCATCGCGTAAAACGAATGTCCCGATCGACGCAAACGCTGGCGAAAGTCGTTGAAAAATATCGCCCTGTGGACGAACCACTTCGAATATAAATCCAAGCTGGCCGTAAGAGATGGTGGAAAAACAAAACACTCTCGAGTTAACGTCCGAAATCAATGCGTGTTAATAAAACATGCATTTTTATCTTTACCTCGGCCCGTTCGCAAAACTCGGTTTTTATGTTTTCGCAATTTTTCCGGATTATCGATGCGCGTGGAACGTACGCCGATTGAAATACGGATAATTAAAATTGCCGGAGCGTAATTGACGTTAATGTGTAATAAATACAAAACTCGCGGGTGTACATTAGCGCGTTTGTACTTGAGAAATATAAGTCCTTGACAAACTAAAGGGAAACGGTCGAATCGCAAAAATCGTTTTCTCGCTGTGCGCCACTGAACCGGCACTGATGGCTGTACGTGATCAACTAGTGCAAAGCCGATAATGTGTACAATTGTCTAACACGTTGTCGTATCACACGAAATATCTCATTGATGCTGACGGCTGATATTTATATCAATAAATCAAATTTCAGTGCGTTTGGGCATGTATTAATATTTTTCCAATATAACTTGCGCGCACAGTTGTGTACGTGCGTTTATGAATATGTGTAAATCGATTTTTAATGCGATACTTGACCGGCAATTGTTGTACGTATATTATAAAATATCGTTAAATTTCGCGGACAAATAATTTCAAGCCCCTTTCCTGCTGAAAAGGGGGACAAATACACCGTATTGATAAATCTGTACTTCGTCGCACTTTCATGACGCGGCAAGGATTGATTGCGCTTTCGATTATCCTTGAAGAAAGACCGAAGACGGATCGGAATCGTTACGCAAGATTCGCTCGACCATGGGTGGTCGTCGTTCTCCCGCACATCGCACACTCAACCACGTCTTTTATCCGCGCCCTGGACAATTATGTCCTCTCTCATTTAATCTCGTGGTCCGCGCACCCATCCAGTTCGAGCTATTCATCACGAGTCGAAATGGCCTTTCAACGTCATCTTTGTAAAAAATCGCTCTACCGCTCCAATCCGAAAAATTATTTCTTAATCAAGCTCAACAAGGTTTTACGCGCTATTAAAAATAATTAATTAAGTAGATACGAAATATACATTTTGGAACGTCCCGTACGACACGCAACGTCATTCCCATCTATTCGCGAACGAACCTCCGGGTTTTCCGGGTTCAAGACACCTGCGAGACGCGGTTTATCGTGCGCGTGGCCGATCTGTCCCGCAATTTTCTTAACCTTGCGGAACCGCAAAATCGGTTCGGCCGTCTTTTTCGTAATCGATTCGTCGCGGGCGCTCGCGATTCGGTAACCTTCGAGCGGATCGGCCCGTTTTCCAGACGGCTAACGTGTACCCATTCGAATCGGTCCCTCCTCACGGAACAGTGCAGCGCGGCACGAACGCTAATGTGGATCAACTACGTAAAATCGCACGAATCGCGTAAGAATCAAACGTCCTCCATCTCGCAATTTATTTTCGATCCGGCTCGAATAGCTGGAAAATGGAAAATTGCCCGTTTACAATATTTCTTCGTCGAAAAATGCGTCAAGGAGGGACATTTATTGTAAAATATATTATTATTTCTTGCTTATTATTGTAATATATTTAGAATTATATAATTTCGCACCTGTTCATTGTGGACTTATTATCGTGAAACATTTAGTCGACATTGGTTTCTTGGCAAAATCACTAGCGACGTCAATAAAACTAAATAAGGCTCTTGTAAAAGTTGATGCAAATTATTAAAACGACTGCGAAGTAACGGGCATTATTTTTAATGGCTCGTTACCACCGTATCTCTAGTATGTGCGAAGAGACGACGTCAGAAACACTCGCATCGGTGTCGAAAGCGAAGTATCGATAGTAACGTTGCACGTTGTCATTCCATAGCTTTAACCCGCTCGAATCAATTCTTGAACCGACACCGAATCGCGCACTTGAACGGATACAATTATGCAGCTATTGGAGTATGAAAATAGTTTCTCCGTTGTCGGTCCTCATGCGGAGCACCTTGAATAATTTGACGCACGACGGGAGTCCTAGTTTCGCGAGAGCGGCGCCAATACATTTTTTATGGCCTCATTGAGACGGCAAACACGAAAATTCGCCGACGATCATCGCGACTGTCGTAATTAACCGCTTAACGTGAAATTCAAACAGACTTCGGACGTCCCGTCTCACTAAATTCGCCATGTTCTCTCGCATTTTCTTACGTATCTATTATTTATAAAACACGAAATATATCATTCAGTTTTCTCTCCACAGCAATTAAAAACTGTTAACTTCTCGAAAGAGTCTGCCTTCGTGAACATGTAATGATATTTGTGCAAACTAACATATTGAACGTCTCGGTTGCTGAATAATACTTTTTAAAATTTCATCGTCCTTTCTCTTTTTGTGAAATTTACCAACGTCTTGGATCATTGATACTCGATATTCATTTGTAACATTTTTCAATAGCTCTAAATGACGAAAACAAAAGGTTGCAGGAACTAATTAGTACAAAATGGCGTAAAATGTAAAATTGTTGTTCTGTCTTTACGTCTCTTCTAATGAATGAGCCTTGTCGAGAAGCTGATATTCTATCATTGTATCAGTTACGTGGAGGAACAAGGTAATGTAGGGAAAAAAAAGTTGGCGCAAAAAAGTTTCACTCGGAAGATGAAAATAGTAGCAAACAATCAACTCTTTTTCGTTTATTCAATACGAAGTAATACCGTTACGCGTGTAACGAGCGGAAATCAGACGAGGATTCAAAGGCTTTCGTAGAAAACGCGAGAGAGTGATTCGAGAGGAGGCAGCGGCGCGGCTGCAGGCGGCATCGCTAAAGACCATCCAGTTTTTACCGTATTTTAAAACGCAAAAATAGCGTTACGTTGACCTGCACGCAGGATGCCCGACCGCCGCGTAGCCTTTTTGCCCGACTAATAATTATCATCGTCTTAGGTATACCGAAGGAGGCTACGGGCTCGTCAGTGAAGCGGAATCTTTGCCTGTGGCTACTGTGGCTGATGGAACGACCGTAAGGGAAAGAAAAGATAAAGAGAGAAAGAACGACACGCCGTTTTAACATAAAACGGTCGAGTTTGACGCTTTGAATTGGAAGGTCCGTCGAAGACGAAGTCTCTCGAAATTTTCCGGATGATGACGACAAATTAAGGCCACGTCTAATGACGCGCGCAATTCTAGTAGTTTCGCCAAAACGTATTGTTCGTGTATAAGAAAATAGTGCGTTCTGTGTAAAAAGAATTAGATAGAATTAATCTTTAAGTTGGTTACTTTTTACCTTGCAATGAAAAGGAAATTTTAATTAAAACGGAGGCTTATCGATAGCTTTAGGTAGTCTTTGTTACGCGATCGTTTAAATTATTAATTTCTTAAATTAATATATAAATGTTGGACTCTTATTAGACAAGGCACTTTTACTATGTGTTCTATTTTACGTAGATAATACGCAGCATCTATAATGTAATATCGCCGACTCCTTTTGTACTTAATCGCTATCGATGGCTACTCTATCAACTGACGCGGAATAATGCTTCTAAATCCGCTCGATTGAACTCGTCGGCGTCGCAATCACGCAAAAACAGAAGATCCTCTCTGCTCTTCTGCCTCCGAGCGGAAGTCATTTCCCGCGTCGCAGGATCGGCGTCGCGCCGATCCGACGGTCGTTTTTCCGCGGATACGCGCGGACGCCACTCGGATCCACGCGACGCCGCGCGAACCCGAGCCGCAGACGAGCCTGTTTCGGTCATTTTTCGAAATAGGCGAATCGCGTGCGTTCGCTCAGACGTAGGATCCTGCGAGAACGTCGAGTCCTGCCGTGGTCAAAAGGATACCATAGTTATGATATGGGGTTGTGGATAATAGCACGGATCGAATCGGGAGATTACAGTTCCTGCGTCTGCGACAATGCGCCCGAGGACACGAGGTGTCTCACGGACGATTTGACGGTAGCATTGTGATGCGAATTAGTTCGCAACGATGAGCAGGAACGGACCGAGGATTTTTGGCCGACGGAACATTTTGCGACCCCCTATCGTGGCTTTAATTTTCGAGGAAACGAGACTGCAATTTTCTATCCCCTTTGAACATTATTTTTCCGCAAACACGATCTTTGATGACCGATGAAGCGAGGCGGCTACATTTTGTAAATACGTTAAGTATATAAAAAAGCAGCACATTGTTATCAAAATAAGCTTTCTTTTTGACTTTGAAATATCGTTTACCGCAAAATAATCCATCTAGCGTTACCGGAATATTTTTTTAATGCAACTTTAAAGAGAAAGTTTTTTTAGGGTTGCCTGGTCCTGAAAGGTTCATATGTTAATGTGTAACTTTTTTCCGTCTTTTTGGTGGAATTGTGAGAAAACTCTGAAGCTGTGTACGCTAAAAAAAAGAGAGAGAGAGATATAACCGCTGGTGGGGCCAGCCTTTGTATGCAGGGTGTTAATTTCCAGTTCCAAGGTCGCACATTTGCGAAAAAAAAAGAAGCTAATTCCCGTACGATGTTTTCACGAAACGAAACGAAGCAAAAGTGCTTTCTCTCAGCAGTGAATAGCTCGTGTACCGTGAAATGGACGAGATGTACAAATGCATACATTTTCTGCGAGAACGCACGTCGCTGCACGCTGTGCGGGATCGCGCACGCAACATTAGCTATTCAAACGCAGCTCCGAGAGTTTCGTCTTTAAGCTGGACCCCTATCGTCAGGCGGGCCCGCTGCCTGCCTAGCGATCATCTCTAACTTGCGGACCCTCTAGACTGTCCTTAAACGCAGTCTGATCGTTTCGCTTCGGGCGATTCAGTGTAAACTCTTCAAACACGAGAATCTCTAAACTTTAAATAATACATCGTACTAAATTATTATAATGAAGACGCGTCTGTGAGCTTTGCGCACAAACGTGCAACATTTTTCTCAAGGTATTATATACACGCGTCAAAATAATTAGCTATATTTTTTGAAATTTAATCAGCTTAATTTTCAAGCTGATTTCTCTCAAATAGAAAACCACTCGTGCATAGTTTTTGGAACAAGTTTGTCGAACGTGCGACCTTTTGCGTTGTACAAGAATTGACTTCAATAGCGAGCAGACAATACAAATGCAATCGAATTTTAGAGAAACGCTTTAACTTGCCTGAGATTGATATTTTATAAAGGAAAAATAAAATAATATATAGAGTAACCATATTTAAATGTTAAACTTTCTTATTGTTTTGTTGCAATGCGTTGAGAAGAAGAATAAATAAAAATTTCTGAAAGACAATAAAAAATTCTTGCAAATAAGCAAAGAGAGAAAGAGAGAGAGAGAGAGAGGAGAGCGTGCATTCTCGCGTGACTCCGTGCACGCTCGATTAAACGTGCATTCACGATCGATCAAAGGTCGATCGAAGTCGACCACGAACTGAAAACAGTAGTCACGAGAAAAGCATGGGGAGATCGGGAACTATTTGCTCGCCTCTGTAAATATCTGCCTGCGGAACGACTTTGGCAGTCTCCGTTGTACGTACACATCGGCGGC